AGTTACGTTGGCGTATCCGGGTATTCCGAGGATCGAGTGCGAGGCGTGACTGACTATGTACCGATAGGGTCGATTTCCTTCCTAAAAGCCCAACGGATGGTTCGGAAGGGTTGTTTGTCGTACTTGGCTTTCGTTAGAGATGTTGGAGCTGAGACTCCTAGTCTTGATTCGGTTCCCGTTGTGAGGGATTTCCCTGATGTGTTTCCAGCGGACCTGCCGGGCATGCCGCCGGACAGGGACATTGATTTCGGTATTGATCTGGTGCCGGGCACTCAGCCCATCTCTATCCCTCCCTATCGTATGGCACCAGCGGAGTTAAAAGAGTTGAAGGAACAACTTCAGGAACTCCTAGATAAGGGGTTCATTCGCCTGAGTGTGTCACCTTGGGGTGCACCGGTGTTATTTGTAAAGAAGAAGGATGGCACAATGAGAATGTGCATTGATTACAGACAGCTGAATAAGGTGACAGTGAAGAACAAGTACCAACTACCCCGTATTGAGGATTTGTTTGATCAACTTCAGGGAGCAAGGGTATTCTCTAAGGTTGACCTTCGATCGGGCTATCACCAGCTGAAGATTAGGGATTCAGACATTATGAAAACGGCTTTCAGGACGAGATATGGGCACTACGAATTTCTAGTGATGTCCTTCGGGCTGACTAATGCCCCAGCCGCATTCATGCACTTGATGAACAGTGTATTTCGGCCGTATCTGGATTCTTTTGTGATCGTGTTTATTGATGATATTCTGGTATACTCGCGTAGCCAGGAGGAGCACGCGCAGCACCTGAGGGTGGTATTACAGAGATTGAGAGAGGAGAAGCTTTATGCGAAGTTCTCTAAGTGTGAGTTCTGGCTTAGTACTGTGACTTTTCTGGGACACATGGTGTCCAGTGATGGTATTCGGGTTGACCCAAAGAAGATCTAGGCGATGCAGAGTTGGCCCAGACCGTCCTCAGCTACTGAGATCCGGAGTTTCCTCGGTTTGGCGGGGTATTACCGCAGGTTCGTTCAGGGCTTTTCATCTATTGCTTTGCCTTTGACGAAGTTGACACAGAAGAATGCTCCATTTGTGTGTTCGGATGAATGCGAGGAGAGCTTCCAGAAGCTCAAGTCGGCCTTGACCACAGCTCCGGTACTAGTATTGCCATCAGCTTCAGGTTCTTACACGGTGTATTGTGATGCTTCGAGAGTTGGGATCGGTTGTGTATTGATGCAGGAGGGTAGAGTTATTGCGTATGCTTCTCGTCAGTTAAAGCCCCATGAAAAAAACTACCCTGTTCATGACTTAGAGTTGGCTGCCTTGAACATTTGGAGGCATTATCTATATGGCGTATCTTGTGAGGTATATACGGACCATTGCAGTCTTCAGCACTTGTTTAAGCAGAAGGATCTTAATTTGAGGCAGCGGAGATGGCTTGAGTTACTCAAGGATTATGATATTACCATCCTGTATCATCCCGGGAAGGCCAATGTAGTGGCCGATGCTTTAAGCCGGAAGTCCATTAGTATGGGTAGTTTGGCGTATATTCCAGTTGGGGAGAGGCCCCTTGCACTTGATGTTCAGGCTTTGGCCAATCAGATGGTGAGGTTAGATATTTCCGAGCCCAGTCGGGTGTTGGCTTGTATGGTTTCCCGATCTTCTTTGTACGATCGCATCAGAGAGCGCCAGTATGATGACCCGCATTTGCTTGTCCTGAAGGACAGGGTCCAGCATGATGATGCCAGAGATGTGACCATTGGAGATGATGGTGTGTTGCGGATGCAGGGCCGGATTTGCGTAATGTGGATGGGCTCCGGGAGTTGATATTAGAGGAGGCCCACAGCTCGCGGTATTCGATTCATCCGGGTGCCGCGAAGATGTACCGGGATTTGAGACAGCATTACTGGTGGAGAAGGATGAAAAAGGATATTGCGAATTATGTGGCTCGATGTCTCAACTGTCAGCAGGTCAAATATGAACACCAGAGACCCGGCGGTGTACTCCAGCGGATGGATATTCCGGAGTGGAAATGGGAGAATATTACTATGGATTTTGTGAGTGGTCTTCCTCGTACCTCGAAGAAGTTTGATTCGATTTGGGTGATTCTGGATAGGCTGACCAAGTCCGCACACTTCATTCCTGTATGCACTACCTATTCTTCGGAGCGGTTAGCAGAGATTTTCATCCGAGAGATTGTGCGGTTGCATGGGGTCCCAGTTTCTATTATATCAGATAGAGGTACCCAGTTTACTTCTCAGTTCTGGAGAACATTTCAGCGAGAGTTGGGTTCACAGGTAGAGTTGAGCACAACATTTCATCCTCAGACGGACGGACAGTCCGAGCGTACTATCCAGATATTGGAGGACATGTTGCGTGCCTGTGTTATTGATTTTGGAGGTTCTTGGGCTGAATTCTTGCCACTTGTAGAGTTTGCTTATAACAACAGCTATCAATCCAATATTCAAGATGGCGCCGTATGAAGCCTTATATGGGAGACGGTGTAGATCTCCGGTTGGTTGGTTTGAGCCCAGCGAGGCTAGATTATTGGGGACAGAGTTAGTGCAAGATGCCTTAGAGAAGGTAAAAGTGATCCAGGAGAGACTTCGTACAGCTCA